ACCATGTTGACCGTCATGGTCAACTTGCCCTAAAACAGTTGAGATTATCTGTCCTAAATGAAATGCATACAAACTCATATACAGGTCCTCGACTATTAGGGAAATGGCTGGTTATACGTAAAAATTTTCATGAAGGATAATGGCCTAAATAAATACTGTAGGTGCAGATTTAATCACAAGCTTCAAATAGGATATGGGTTTTCCCGTTCAAGCCACATGACTTCCTCAACAAAAGGCCCACGCTCAAAACGACGAGGCATTTCATATTTTAGGTAGAAAACAAGGAAGCTCAAATGTACTTTTGTATAAAGATTTAGAAATAGAGAAATACTCTATAGACCGGGAAAATAATCATGCAAGAAGGAAAAGGTACGAAACTAAACGGAATCCTGATTTTAATTACAGTCGATTTCGCATAACTTTTCCCTATAAATTGGTTGCTACCTTTGTTCCCAACACAGTGTAAACAAAGCCTCTGATTGGCCCCTGAACTAAAAGAAGCCAATCAAGTGCATTGTTTACAAATGGTTTGTGAATATGAGCTTTTGAACTTCGCAACGAAATTTGGAACAAAGTTTGCAACATTTAGGTAAAAGTTATGTGAAATCAAAAGCCTACTTATTTGAAAACTAAATACTTGGAATTTCATTGGTGTTATTTTCCTATGTGTGCAGGGAGCGACTTGCAGTAGTACCATGTATACTTACTAAATAAGTATAGGTAATAGCATGGTTTCGAGTGCAATTTGGATATAACATGCACGAGTGAGTTTTTCAAAGACCTCAAAATAGCACGAGTCCGAAGGGCGAGTGCTATTTGAGGTCTTTGAAAAACTCACGAGTGCATGTGTATCCAAATTTCACGAGAAACCATGCTATTACTTTTTTTCTGTGTTGGTGTTGTGTACTCAGGTGAATATGATATTTGTGATGTTACTCTGAGTGTGTATCCACACCGGGCGAGCTTGAAAAATATGCCCGGCCACGGTGGGATTCGAACCTACGACCTTTGGAATGCTATTACTTATTAATAATTTACATAAAAATGTTCGAGACAATTGTAGTTTTAACTTACGCGCTTATAGCGAACATTCCACTGGCAAAGTTTTCCTGGCTTTGTTATATCACCTTATACAACGCTAACAGCTTGAAAATAACTATGTAATTTTTGTTAGTCTTGTTTAAGGTAAATGCTTTTCCATTTAAAAATAAAGATAAAAGCCATATTATTATTTTCCACGCGAAGGCAACTTTTACTTTGTGTAGCGCGGCGCCATGTTTGTTTTGTTTTGAAGCAATCTGTGACCGTTACTTCTTTAAACTATAATGCTTTAAACTGATTGGTTGATTTAATCATCACATTGTTTTTCTGCCAATCAGATCAGTTTGTTACAGATTTTTGCACTGTGATTACAAAAAATTGCACTGTGATTACAGAAAATTGCACTGCTGTTTGGGATTAACTGCACTGAAATCAACCAATCACAGTCGAGTAATATCTTTATGTATATTTTTAGTGAATGTAACAAGAAAGTTGTACAATCTTAAAAAGGAGATTAAGCTTTTCACCGGATTTAACACTTCCAAATTTCTACTATTGTTTTTGTCTTTTTCAAATCTTTATTTCAGGAAAGTTCCGTTTTTTACACATCGTCTATAGCACAAGACATCTTTTTCAACACTACACATGTTCTGCCTGGAAACGCAGCTAAATTGATTATTCTTATCCTATTGGGGAGCAGAGGGCAACAGTAGCAAATTACGTGCTGCATCGGATGTTAAAGATCACTGATATTATGCACCTCATTATCAGCATAGAGCCCAGCTCCAGGAAGTGGAGAATCACCAACGCGACCAGACGATTTAAATGGCTTACCACTTGTTGACGTCCCTACATTGTGAAATTTTTAGAAATATGTATATACTACCCCTATGTTATAATTCGAGCCTGTTAAAAACCTTAACCGATCGCTCTCCACCAAAATAAAGTTTCTATTTAGTATCCATGCAATCAAAATGTCCCAGGAGAAATGTCAATTTCACACGAGTCAAGTCAAGTCAAGTGCATAATGAAGTATCCTCCAATTAGCACTAACCATTTTTCTGTCTGATAGACCAATCAGGTTAGGTGCCGTAATTGGCTTCTTTAAAGCGGACAGACAGGATTTGTGTCAGGCCCTCCATTCCCTTGCATCCATCCACATTTAACGAAGGGAAAATATGGCCTGATTTTTAAATACTTAAAAGTACTTTTCATATCAAGACTTAAACGTTTCACTTAACACCACAGTTATGACATTTCATGCATCGATCAATTAAATTTTGTTGTCATATAATATTGTTAATCTTTGTTAATGAAATTACCTGCAGCAATATTGCCTTGGAAATCTTTAACAAGCACTCCTAAAAATAACATGCACTTACAAAAGATAAAAATGTTTCATTACTCTATAATTTATTGTTCTAGACATGCCAGTACTAGACGCTCTATAGCCTAGGTATATTCACGTCAGGCACATGACCTGAAGTTATTAATTTTCTTGTACTATGAGGATTCGTTAGAACCATTGATGCATGCAGGCAGGATGCTTTTATTCTTCCTTAATTCGCATTATAAGTCTAGCCCTGCTGAATTAATGTCTGTTACTTCCAAACGTTGAGGTAGATTTAGGCACGTCTAACGGTATATTTGTTATGGGGTATAGGATCTTACCAATCGTGTCATGACCACACGTTGTATGAACACAGCTCTTCTCCTTAGTTTTCAAAAACTCCTGTAGGGACAAACATTACATCTTATTCAAAATGAAAAAAATGCTAGTAATTCACAAGATATGACATCTCCATCTAAAGTGTTAGGTTTATGCAAATCACACTGGCATGCACTTCATAGGCATTTGGTTCACTTTGGCATTTTTATCAGTCAATTTTCATAATTTCATTCCACGATTACTTTAGCGGTCTATCTTGTAAAGTAATGTACAGTATTAATGGGAAGTGGTAGTCATCTGCATAATTCGAACCTTCCAAAAATCTTAAATCGCCTAATACAGTGCAAAAACACTTTATGCTGGCCGACAACTGGAGAACAATGTGTACAACAGATTTGTTAAAATAAACGTTGGTGGTAGTTCATGATATGGGGAAAAGGCGAGTGACTAACTATATATAGCGCTGTTATTATGGCAAATACCTTGTACGCTTTCGTACTGCTCTCAGTTTGTAACAACTCGTTATTAAGTACAGAAATGCCATGTTCCTTTGCAAACTGTTGGGCTCCTTCACTAACCAAAATACTATGTTTAGATCTTTCCATTACCAACCTTGCAACTGAAAAGGGTGTCGCAACTCTGAAATATATAAACAATACTGGGTGAGTGCAACATTTCAATAAAGTGCATGGGTCATGATCAGATACATCGAACCATAATATGGTATCATGCGTGAAGCAAACCGAAATACGGTATAGATGGGTCAAGTAAACCGAAATACAGCATACATGGGTCAAGTGTTCTGAAACATTGTAAGTGGTCAAATATACCGAAATTCGGCAAAAACAGATAAGTATACAGCCAAAATATGGTATACATGCAGTAGCCCATCCGCTTTGTGAGCCTCTTTGTTGTTCTTACGGCAATCTTGCTACGTTATGTCTTATGACGTCATCAGTGTGCATAACTCAACACACAACGGCACCGTATGGTAAAGTATCACAGACCTTTGTGTCAAAGACATATATTCCAATCTAGTGGTTACAAAACATACCTACAGTACGTTACGATATAATATGATTAAAGTGGTGACATGCAGAATAACGGTGACATGCAGAATAACACTTTTGGAGTTGATTCAACTCCTTGAAAATCACAGTGTAGATTTTCGAATAAAATCCATATACATGTATACAGTTTTTTGCGTCCTGAAATTGGATCCGATTTGCGAAATTGGATCCGATTTGAAATTGGATCCGATTTATAGTTTCCAAGAAATCATATATTTTCAAAACTGAAATTCGATATTCAGCACATTAATGTACCCTTGAACAGCAGCCACAGCTCCAAATCTACACCCATTACCATCCATTATGGCTGCATCACATTCCAAAATCCCCTTTTCGTTTGGAAATCCTCCACGTCCAACTACACATTTACCAGTATCTGGATCATCTTCCACAACTGAATGAAAAAATGTTTCAAATGTGGCAACCCATTGCGTGCAGTATTCTACGTTACGCTGCCTCGCATCGCGACTCAGTGGAAGAAAAAGATTTAAATGACCAACATGGCTCGTTCTTTTCTAAATAGTTGAAAAGCTTGAAAATATAATAACTCTGACCTGCCCTAAGGATGTGACTGTGGATAAAAAAGGGCGATCATAAAGATGGATAATGTAAATTTAATTAGGTAATATCAAGGTTACTGTTTAAAGTGAGCCGACTTGTAATGTTAATAAATTCACGTGATTTTCTTCAAGAGTATTGAAATTGGAACTTCTTCCATCACTACGACTGTCCGTATTATATACATGTAGCAACAGGGGTTGAAAGTATTTTATAATCCAGGACCACAAGGGAACATGAAAGAATTCGGTGAGGTGTCAGTTCACAACCGTACTTCGGCTGTACGTTTAGCTACAGTAGCTAACTACATTCTCTTTCAAAAGTTGTTGGGACACATATAGTTTTAGATTGTATAAGTGGATCATTGCAATTTGTTACACATAATACTGCTCCCCTCTCCAATCAATGTTGCTTAAACCAGAACACATCAAATCTGACGAGAAATGGCACACAACATTGAAAAGGGGGCGGGGGAGATTGTATGATGTTTGTTGAAATTCAAGGATTTTGTGGCATCTGTCCTAAGACATTTGAAACTGATTGTAGTAGTCATATGCAATATTTTGACCACTATTATTATTATTATTATGATTTTGACCACTATTATTTTGATTAATGTTAGCAATTTGACCACTATTTTCCTTTTTTCCCTATTATGTAAATATTGTAATGCGAAGCTAGAAAGCTACTAAATCAAATGAACTCTATCGCGACAGCCAAAATTAGATTGATGTTATTATAGACTGATTGTTATCATTAAATAAAGAGGTACAACACACTGTCCTAAGAAGCGTGCATTATGACGCAATAATGGACTGTTCTGATTTTTCAATGTATCTGACTTGCATGTTTTAAATCCAAAAATGGAATTTCAAAAACACAACAATAGTAGACCTAAATGAAATGAAAGAATCAGCCGCAATAAAACATCAGGGGGGAAACGTGAAAAAAAGGCTCTCAGCTCTTTCTCATAATTATGAGTCTGAAATTAAAACTGACTTCGCAATCAATGACAAAATAAACTGGGCTATTTTAGCCTGCGAACAGGCTCTCAAGCTGAATTGAGAGCCTGCATCGATGACTAATGAATTTGAGTATCTGCGTCTCAAATCGTGACGCGACATTCTCATTGGTCAGATGCTATAATTTATATGTTTCCGCTGAGCTTTATATATGTCAACTGCTGAAGCACTATGCATACAAAACACATTAACTGATCAAATTGGTCTTGGCCGTCCTATCTCAAAGCACGAAATGTTCTGTTTTGAGAAAACAGTATTTAAAACATTTGAACTTTTGCTTGAATATCTTATATTTCGAAAAACAGTACAAACTATACGGTCTAAATTTAGTTTGCAAGGTCTAAATTTAGTTTGCACGAAAGTTGTAAACAACACAATATAAGGATAGACATTCCATATTTGGAAAAATGAACGTTACGGGGCAGATATTCAAATTCATTAGTCATCGATGCAAGCTCTCAATTCAGCTTGAGAGCTTGTTCGCAGGCTAGGGCTATTTCGGCTATTTGAGCACAAAAAGCAACACATTTATCCACAGTTGTATGTGTTACCAACAACATACGCTGCACAGATATGGCATTTTTACAATTTGTTTCAGAAAATATTTTACGACTAACGAGAAACCATAACTAGGGATCCAAGGATAGTGCAGAGTTTCAAAGACGAACGCTATATTGACATACTTATTAATTGAATAGTTTTTTCAAGCGTGGTTTATAGCTTTAATCACATGTCGATATGGTTTAAATCTAATACTTTAAGATTAAAGAATGACGAGAGTTATGTAATATTATTTATTTCCTCATATAATATTAGTCACAAGGCATAATTTCTGTTATAATGTTGTAAAGTTTCCAATTGAAAACGACACTATATAGGGTCGCCGGCAACCTAGGTGACTTTTTAAATCTGTGATTATTCCCACCATCCTTTTAGCGCCCATTTGGCTATCGTCTCAGTGACAACTTGAGAAAATAGCTGTATAAGATATGTTATGAATAATAAGCACTACGACGTTGTATTCCATTACAAAAAAGGAACACAAATCTAAAACACAGAAACGTAAATAAGAGGCGAAAACTCATTAAAATGACGCATTTCATCCGCATTTTATCCCCATATCCGTTCCGTGAATCCGCATCCGCTTTCCGCATTTTAATCTAATTATGACGTGTTTTCACAATAACAAGTCTCATTGACCTTTGATATATTTCGAAGGTCACGTTGTTGTTTCATGAGTCATTTTCAGCTTTTCGCATGTATTCAATAATGTAACTTTAGATTTCAATAGTTTCACAGTTATTGCAGTGTTTATATAGCAGTTTTGACAAGCTTTGATACAGATAGATTCTCGTAAGATCTGGTAGAGTTTTCGTTGCACTGAACACGAGTTTGCACCGTTGTGCTATACACGTAAACAAAGATTTTCTCAATATTTATGTCTGAAATGTTTATACATTTGAAAACACGGTCTCGCTGCTTCCTAGCTTTGTATAATGAATATACCGTCGGCACTTAATTGAATGCCCGTAATGCAAAACATCAATTTATATATTGCGTAGAATCTCAAAGATTTTCTCAATATTCATGCCTGAAATGTTCATACATTTCAAAAGACAAAACAACACTGTCTCGCTGCTTCCTAGCTTTGTATATTGAAATTGAATATACCGTCAAAATAATATCGGTACTTAATTGAATGCCCATAATGCATAAGTCATAACATCAATTTATATATTGCGTAGATTCTCAAAGATTTACTCGATATTCACGTCTATAAAAATGTTTATAATTTGAAAACAACACTGTTCGGCAGTGTCGCTCCTTCCTAGCATCGTCATTCGTCACGCCATCGTGATCTACAGCTTGATAGCACATGCGCATTTGCGCTGCTAAAGAAAAAATGGGTGTTCCGGGGGAAAGATCTTTCACACAACACGAAGAAGCAAATGTTATAAAATTGACAAAAATTTGCAATAACAACAATTCCTGGAAATTTTTGTGAACTTGGCAAAAGGACAAAATAAGTATTTAAATAAGACAACTGAAATTGCCTAAATAACCTTCAAAGCACTGACTAAGTAGAATAAATTACCACGACGATAAATCGTATACACCCCCCGGAAAGTTTACTCTATGATATCTGATGTATGACAGATGTGAATTTTCGCCACTCATCACAATAGTGCACAGTTTCAAAGAAACTCTGCACTAAAAAACAATCACACAAAAAATTATCCAAATAGTAGGCTAAAATAAACGGTTTGACTGGTTTAAATATTTACAGATGTGAAACTCCTATCAATTTTTCGGTCACACGAGATTCGTAATGCTCGTGTCATTGCTATGTATAGAGTTTCTGGCAAGTGCTGGCAAGTATGATTGCAGATTTTTGAGAAAATATTGGGAAAAGGCTTTTCGAAAAGTAAAAATTGCTTTTTTTAAAGAACTTGAGACAGAGATGGTATCAAATCAAATCATCAAATCAATTTATTCACTACATTACACACATATACAAGTATTTCAAAATTAGGAATAATAATAAGTAGCAAGGTAGCCCAAAAAGAAACCAAAAGGCTTTTAAGATTTGGACTCCTTTCTTAAATATCTGATAGACAAGGAGGCAGTGTCACGGTAATAAATATATAACAAAATTGGGTTACAAATAATATACGAAAATTGGGTTACAAATAATATAATATAAATAATACTGTTCGTAATAATATAGTTCATAATAATATAGTGTATATATATATAATTTTCTAATATTAGTCCTACAGAAGGGAAGGAGGTACAAGCTAGCATTACGTGTATGATAATTATGAACTTGACCGAACAGAGTAAAGAAACCGTCAAAAATGTTTGGAAGTAAATTATTTTGATACAAGTAGGCTACATGAATTTACCAAGGTGATATTTGTAAATTTTCTCCACTGTCAAAATCTTTAATTCATTAAAGATTGGCTCAGTATGAGCATCAAATTTGTCTTTATTGACTATATAATTTATTTATTGGTATAATTTTTCTGAATAAAGGTTTTGAGAATAACGGTAAGTGATCAATTTAACTTATTTAAGAAGTACATTTGCATGAGATTTAGGAAGACTTTTATTTTTTGTTGAACTTTTATAATCGATCGCTTCGAGTTAGCCATATACCGCATACATGGAGTCCGTTTCATGTTTTAGCTGGCGATTAAAGATTAAAAAACACGAAAGAAGCCGGATTATCTTACCTGAAAAATCAGGTGACATTCATGTGGCTAATTACGTCACTCTTTATCAAATTAGGTACAAGATTTTACATGCATGCATGTATATAATAATTTCACTTGACAAATTCGGTACAGTCCAGAAATGTATCTGTAGGAATGACTATAACCACCCAAAAAGTTTATCTTTCCATTCCTCATATCCTTTCAAAAAACGAAGTAATTGGGTGCTGCTATTTAGATTGTCACTGAAGAGTTCTTTGGTACAGAATTGGCAGGGATGCTTTGTCAGACACTGTTTAATAAATAGCCAGCCACATAAGTTATCGCTCCCGCTACGTTATTCCCAAGGCATGTTTTTTAATCAGCATCGTCAATTACGAATGGTTGTGGCTGTCTTTCCTCTGTTCTACCTGATGAAGTCGGTAAGGCTTTATAATTTGGTGATCCAACGAAACTCCAATCAAAATCGTCTGTATGCAGATTCCTGGTGTAAGAAGGTATAGTTCTCATAGAAACGTTTTCTGGATGCCCTTGTGAATTGAAGTTGGATTGTCTGAAATTGCTTGTCTGTGAAATTTGAAATTAATTCGGCAGTTCCAGCAGCTGTTGGTGGTAAAGTGGCACAGAGTGACTTAGTACCTGAGTTGCATATTTGACTTTCATTTTTGTAAATCCATTCAGGTAAATATGTTGGTCTGATAGTGTTGGGCAGCAACGAATTGGTACAGTAATGCTTTGTCCTTTCCATGCATTGAGAGCACATTGTCCCATTGTGCAACTTTACTTCCAAAGTAAAAGTCATAATTAACAAGATTATTTCTTACAGCTTTTATTAGATGAAGTGGGTTAATTACTGTACCTGTATATATAATATTTTTATCATTGTACATAAACCAAGGTTGTGTAGCTGTTACCTTTACCCTGTTACCTTTAACAATTTAATATATTCATATAGGCTAAATAATATCCAAGCGGCTATTTCCAGTTTGTTCTTATACCACGAACCATGACGATAATCGCATATGTTGCCGCACTGCATATTAATTCGCTTCGATGCCAATCACCAAAGTCTTCCACGCCAGCTACTTCGTCTCTGAATGTACCATCAAGCAGGGATGTCCTTAAGGAAATCTCGTCTATCGAAATTGTGTGGAGCCTGAATCACTCATGCACTTCACTTCACTTTGCTTTCAATGGCATCCACTGCTTGTTGGAAAAGACCAGGGCACTTTCGTAGACCTTCAACCCATTTGAACACGCTTCATTTGCAAGATCAGTTGAACAATTTGAAACTAATACGCCTTACCATGCAATTACATGGTGGCGAATTAAGATTTCATTCCAGTTGTGTATTTTTTCCTTTAGCTTTTCTTGAGTGAAGCTCAATTTGTATGTTTGATAAAATTGATAACTGTTCCTAACACTTCCAAGGCTGTTTCCCTGTTGAGATGTCTTTCTTCTTCATGTCCAAGGCTTACCTCAAGCGCTGTACGTTGTTCCTTTGTCTTGCATAAAGTGTTTTGTACTTATTTTCTGGTGTTTCAGCATATTGTTATTATTATTATTATTATAAATTTCCAAACTGGCAGTAACAACTGAATTACTTTGGAATTACAAAGTATAAGAACATAGGTATTCAATCTATTCTATATTTAGTATATATTTTAGCATATATAGTATCTTCTATTCTACAAGCCTTTGCAGCAGTGGAACATATGTCTGGAGGAGAACGTGGTGAAGCAGGAGAACTTTTTTGGGCAGAAGAACGTGTGACTTGCCAAATAAGGAGAACTTGTGACATCTTTGTTAAGTAAAAGAAAATTCTAATTCTTCATGATGGGCTATTTCTTGATGACATACAGTATTGCATTTGCAGAATAAGTGCATAAAATCACTAAGAATCAGTACCAGTATTTTCAATAATCTCATTCACTGATGTTATCTCACCGTTGTAATCCATTTGTTTGGACGAGGAAGATCTCGATACAACAAAATATTAGTATCAGCTTCCAATCAAACAAAATGATAGTGCAAAAAATTAAAACACAAGTCATCATTATTGATACCATTTTCAATTTCACCTAATGGCACCTCCTCTATATTAACGATTGTTTCACACTCTATTGGCAAGGGAAGAGAATCTATTATTGAAATAAATTGTCAGAATGAGAGCATAATATTAGATGTATGATTGTGCAGTGCGGTGCGGTGCAGTGCAGTGCAGTGCAGTGCAGTGCAGTGCAGTAGGACTTTGATCGATGAGTCAATCAGGGATTATTCTAAGGTGCAGTGATAACCGTGATTTGTGCAGTGATAAATTAGATTATGTGCAGTGATAAAATGCGATATTGTTCAGTACCAGAAATTGGTGACAAAATGACCACTTTGCATATAATCCACATACAATGGCTTTCTGTTTTTACTGGGAATATACAGGGTGAAAGTACTTAACTCAAAATAATTGCAATCTGAGAGCTCGGCTACTGTTTGCCGACCTCTTGATCAATAAAGCATTCATTTACAAATGTTTCGGTGGCATATTTATTCTGATCGGGCACTTTCTCCTAGCAGGCAAGTCGTGTTCAAGAAAATCACCTTTATGTCATCTTCATACGGTTAAACTGCTGCCGAGCAATTTTGTTTTGAGATTTTTGACGCTGTTTGGTGACACTCAACAGTTTATAGTTAATCTATTTTACGAGTGTGAAAGACAAGATCTTGAGCAATATTGCTTGGTGTTTTGCATGCGATTCAAAAAATATTTGAAATGTGTATATTTTTACATGAAATAGAATATGCAGAATGCAGATTTGGGCTCATTAGCAGTGACTTTGTGTCATTTGCCTGCATACACTGTAATTAGTGACATGCAAGTTGCAGAACCAGAGTATACATGCACTCAAGCAGGGCTGTGAGAACGTTTTCTAAAATGTTGCTAAATTTATATAAATTTTATCATTTTTTCGCGCTTTTGTGCAGTGATAAAATTTCCTTAGAATAATCCCTGGAGTCAATTCAGTTAAACTGCCGATTGTTTAGTTGAAACTCTATGAAATAGACTGCAGCTACAAATACCTAACATTTCGTTAGTTTCATGTAGTGTATGTTAATAGAGGTTCATCTGTTGTTTAAGCTAGATTTTGTAAATGGATCGAGTGTCAATGTTAATTATGTTATATATTTATATTAGACCTAGACAATTGGAGCAGCTGGGGAAAATGCAACTTATAGACCCCCTGGCAGTAATCGAACCTGCGGCCCTGCAATTCTGGCGCAGCGCTCTAACCAACTGAGCTATAACAGAGTCCACAAGTTATTCATGTATATATACAAATGTGATGCATGGTAAGGCATCATGCCGGGGGGTTTGGGGCATCTCACTCGACTGAATTGATTCATCTCTTGTGTAATCTATTAAAATGCAAGACGAGTAAAATCGTCTGACGTTAGACAGCGTAAAAGAATAAAAAAATATTTTGGTAAACGTTTACATCCATATTGATCAACGCTATCATTCTCGGTAACACTTGCCACTGTAACAGGTGCACTTGCTGACAAACAAGAATCTATACATAATCTTCAGTTGTCAATTGTAAATTTTGCGCTTGTGCGCTTTTTTAAACACACAAAAACCCAATGCCCATAACTGCTGTTTTCGGAATTAGTCCTTGCCATTAGCATTGTTTCTACATACATTACAGTATTTAACCACTTACCTTGTTTTCTTATTAAGAAATATCCTTGCCATATAGAAGCTATAGTACTTTTTAGCTTAGATTGTGCAATGCTTCATCAATTTACATGCATGCACACTTCCTCAGCCAGGTATTATGTATTGTATTTTTCCCGTTTTCGGCTCAATCTAACGGTGGACATAAACCCACTTGTTACTCAAAACGTCCAGTCTATCACTCTTTTGTAAAATGTGAAGTAAAATAGCACATTGCCCGCATAATTTAAAAAAAATATCCATTAATTTTATTAGTCAAAAATTCGATTTATCCTAAATAGTATCTAGTAATTCATTATAAAAATCGTGCACGACACTTGCCAGAATATCGCGAGTTTCACAAGATCTGTATGCTATTTAACATGTGTTCATATACCCTGAGTCTGTATATTATTTAATATCTTGTGCAAAAAATCGTTTGGTCAGGATTTCCACAACTGAGCTTTAATTGGTCAATTTTAAAATTTTAAGAAACAATTTTAATTCGGTGTTTAATCACGAAAGCCTACTTTTTTCTACTTCCAATCAATGAGTTAGGGCCTGCCAGGGGGAGGAGGTATTGTATATCATAGTGTTTTCATTATTGATTTTTGACCATAAATTAAAAGATAAAAGTAACTCAACTTAAAAAAGATAATACAAATGTAAGTTATACACACATCCCTTGCACTGGTCTAAATTTCCCAAGCCAAGAAGTGCAACAATTTCACCAGCAGGCCAGGCCCCAGGCTCCAAGATTCAGTTCTAAGTTAAATTTACACTAATTAGGTTACCTGAACTTGTTGGGACAGTGTAGCTCTTGATAATGACAGTAATGGGCCGGGTTTGCAGTAAGTGGTCATACACTGTTGCAGTTACCCAGCAATCGAACAGTTTCCTTTACAAAAAAAACGGTATTAACTTATTCAACATGTTTTTTTTTTCATTTTATAATGATTTACATTGTTGCTGGCGAAGCTAATAAATAAAACAAATGTCAAACAATTGCATGAACTATGTCACCTGGGTTGCCCAAGTGCTACATCGGGACACCAGGTTTGAATCATGAATGCCTGTAGTTGCATACCTCACTATTCCATTCCCAATAATCTATAAAGTTCATGGTCATTCATCTATAAAATTCATGATTGCCCTAATACCCCCCCCCCCCAATCTACTTTGTCTATATACTCCAATAGGACAGAATCTTTGACATCGATGGTATTTAAACACAACTACTAGGTCATGCAACCAATCTGTTAATCTGTCATTAACCCATCACCATGGCCCACGTCTAGATCAGGCCCGTTTACACTACGCTCAATTTTTGGTACGGCACAGATAAAATTGGTACCCGTACCACTTTTTCGGTTCTTGGACTAACTATTTAGGTATTGCAAGAACCAAAAAGTGGTACGGTACCAAAAATTGAGCGTAGTGTAAACAGGGCTTAGCTAAATAGGTAGTCCAAAAGCCAAAAAAGTGGTATACGGGTACCAATTTTATCCGTGCCATACCAAAAATTGAGCGTAGTGTAAACAGGGCTTAGGTGATTTATGTGCAAGTGAAGCACTTGGTGCCAAGCATCTTGCACATTAATGGTTTATCAAAGCAGCTAGCAACCCCCTTTTATTATTCAAAATAACTGTTCGGCACTTAGCTATTTATATTTTAATACAGATATTGTGCACTTAAGTAGTGTACAATATTTATACTTAGATGGCATATTTCATATCATTAACATAAAAAGTATTATTTGCAGAAGCATTCACTTACAACTTCCAGTGTCATGCCAGTTCAAATCCTGGGCCATGCAAGCACATTATTGGGTTTGGGCTATATGTTATAACAATATAATTAATTGTAATTCACTGTGCATGGATGTGAGACATACATTTAATATTTCACTTTAATTGGTCAATTTTAAAATTTTATATTTAGATAGCATATCATTAACATAAAAAGTATTATTTGCAGAAGCATTCACTTACTCAGTGTCATGCCAGTTCAAATCCTGGGCCAGCACATTATTGGGCTTGGGCTATGTTATAACTATTAACAATCTAATTGTAATTCACTGTGCATGGATGTGAGACATACATTTAATATTTTGCTTTAATTGGTCAATTTTAAAATTTTAAGAAACAATTTTAATTTGATGTTTAATCACTCTGCCTATAAACACAAGGCAAATTTCCTTGTTGAAGGAAGACACTAATATTAATATAAATAATAACAACCCTAGCAAAATCATTATAATATAAATAATACAACCCTAGCAAAATCATTGTTCGAGCTACTGTATAAATTTCCCATTCGAGCCCCTCCC